AGCTTCCGGCCAACGTGTGTACCGGTCGATGCATGTAAGCAGGTACCTGTTCCCGTTTGATGAAGGAAGTGGTCCTACGAGGTCTATATGAATGTGACCGAATCGGCGTTCCGCCGTCGAAAACGGTACAATCGGCGATACCGTATGTTTGCCCGTCTTGACGCGTTGACATTGTACACAGCACTTGACCCAACGGCTGACTTGACGATTGATGTCGGGCCAGCAATAACGTTCGTTGATCAGCCGCGACGTTGCTTTTTGACCACCATGCGCGAGGCCGTGTAACGCGTCGAAAACACTGCGGCGGTAGGCAGCCGGTACGTACGTGCGCGTAGTGCCGGTCGAAAAATCGGCATAAATCGGTCCATACGGTGTGTCTCGCGCTTGCAACCGTAACGCACATTTGTCGGGATTCGCCAGAATTCGTTGTAGCTCCGGGTCGTCCGCTTGAGCTTTCGACCATTGAGCCGGATCGGGCGGTCCGCTTTGCAATGCGGCTGTTTCGAGTCGCGACAAGGCGTCGGGTACGACGTTGTCGGTGCCTTGAATGTGTTCGACGGTGTGAATGTATTGGGACAGAAATGATATTTGACGCACCTGTCGGTCTACGTACTTCTCACTTTTGTGGGTGAACATGAACGTGAGTGGTTTGTGGTCCGTGAATAAAGTGGTTAGGCGGCCTTCAATGAGGTGGATGAAGTAGCGGGTGCTGCTATATGCCGCGAGTAACTCACGGTCGTACGTACTATACCGTGTTTCTGCGTCGGTGAGCTTCCTCGAAAAGAAACCTAGTGGTTGCCAGTCGTTTCCGTTTCTTTGCTCGATCACGGCGCCGATCGATGTGCTGGACGCGTCTGTGCTGAGGCGTAGTTCTGCGTTTGGTTTAGGGTGAGCTAGGTTTGCTGTGGCAGCGAGGGCTGTGCGGCAGGTATCGAATGCGGAGCGGGTACTGTCGTCCCACTGTAACGGTCCGTCTTTTTTTTTAATTTGTGCTGCTAAGTTGTACAGTGTGGTCTGCATTTCCGCGGCGTTCGGGATAAATCTACGATAAAAATTTACCGAACCTAGGAACCGTTGTAGGCCTTTTTTGGTCGCCGGAAGTGGCCATCGGTGAATAGTGTCGACGCGGTCTGGGTTGGGTTGACAACCGTCCTTGTTAATTACATGACCTAGGAACGTTAGCGAGGTGACGGCAAAAACACACTTAGCGGGGTTTATCGACATTCCGAACTCTTGGAGCCGCTTCAACACTGTGCGGACGTGTTGCTCGTGTTCGGGTTCGTCACGTGACGCGATGAGTACGTCATCGATATACGCGAAGGCGTAATCGAGACCGCGCAGCATTTCGTTGACTACGCGTTGAAACGTCTGTGCCGCGTTTCGAAGGCCGAAGCACATCACCGGAAACTCAAATAATCCGAACGGCGTAGTAACTGCAGTCTTGGGTATGTCATGTTCAGCTATGGGTACCTGGTGGTATGCTTTCACCAGATCTAGCTTAGTAAACAGCGTTCGACCTGCCAGGTGTGCAGTAAAGTCGTGAAGATGTGGCAACGGGTACCGGTCGGCGCGGGTGACGGCGTTCAAACGTCGGTAGTCGCCACAGGGTCGGCATGCGCCGTCCTTTTTTGCCACCAGCAGGAGTGGACTGGCCCAGGCGCTTGATGACGGGCGACAAATACCCTTGCTGAGCATGTAGTCGAATTCACGGCGTGCGACCTGACTGCGCTCGGGTGGTAGGCGTCGCGGACGTGCGAATAATGGCGGGCCGGTGGTTCGTAGCTCGTGAACCACGTTATGTTTAAACTTGACGGGTACCGGCGATTCGCGAGTGACGTCGGGGAAAGTCTGCAGCAACTCGGTCCACTTGTGTGTGTGCGAAACGACGAGTGCCGGTGCACTGACGTCATCTACGGAGATAGTTTGAATTACGTTCTGGTCTGACGGATCGATGAGGCGATGATTTTTGACGTCGATGAGCAATCCAAAATAATGCAAAAAGTCAGCGCCGATGATTGGGCGGGCGACATCTGCCATCTCGAACGTCCAGGCGTAAGTTCGTTTGACACCCAAACACAAACGTAACGTCTTAGGACCGTACGTTTTTATCCGTGTACCGTTGGCGGCCGTCAGAACTATGTCGGAGGCTAGGCGTGCGCCTGCGGTGGGTGGTAGCACGGATATTTCGGCACCGGAGTCGACGAGAAACTGTTGGCCGGTACGCGTATCGCTGACGAACACGCGGCGTGTCGCGCGGGCGGCGGAAGTCAGCGGGGCTCCCGCCGCTTCCACTAGTTTTCCGAGCGGAAGCTACACGGGTGGTGGCAATTTTTTGCCTCTTTCCCGAAACGGTTGTGGTAGTAACAAAACTCTTTGTTACGCTGGCGCGATTGTGAGCGGTTGCGGGACCGTGAACGCGTAGAACTCCTTTGCCGTGACTGCTGATCTTGCTTCGACTGTGACGTGACGAGGGCGGCTATTTGTGTGGTTAACGCGGTAATTGCACTTTCCATCGTTTGAAATCGATGTTCGAGTGTATTGGACGGGGAAACGGCACAGATTTCGCGTCCGGCGCTCGCGTCCATCACGCGATCGGCACGCTCGGCTAAGGTATCCAAAGGTCCGTCGAGTCCGGATATGACGGTGAGAATGGTGGGAGGTAGTTTTTGCAACCAGAACTCTTTAAGCGCGGCGTCGCCAATGCCTTCGGGAAGGACACTTCGCATGTCTCGGAGCATTTGCGACGGGCGGCGGTCGCCCATGCCCCCGTGTTGAACGATGGTGCGGAAGCGAGTCGCTTGTGGAACGGCGTAGGCCGAAATGAGACGATCCCGTACTGCCGAATACTGCGCGTTCGGGCCTAGCAGGTCCGACACCGTTCGGATTCCGTCCTCGTCTAATGCCGTGAGCACGTGGTTCAGCTTGGTCAGATCTGCTCTAATCCGGTTGCTATGGAAGACAGCTTCGGCATGTGTGAACCATTGCTGTGGTGAGTGACGCCAAAATCCGGGAAGACGAACGTGTTCGATCGCGGAAATATTTTGCGGAGCCGGTATCGGACCGGGAACGTTTAACGGCTGTTGTTGCGCGGACGCAGCGTTCGGGTCAACGTGGTTTTCGTTCAGGAGTTCGCCGTCGGCAGCAAAAACGTCAAACAGACTCATTTCGTGAGTTGAAAAAAACACGCGTGATGGTACCGCGAGAATGGTCACTAAATTAACACGCCGGAACCTTTGATTTCGTTCGCAATGGTCTTCCGAGCGTGTTGCGTGTTCGAATTGTCGAGGTCACCAATTTGGTAAGGTAGGTAGGTATTGACGGATTGTCAATAGGTGAAGGTTACCAATTTAGATTAAATAAAAAAGAATTGCAAAGACGGGTAGTTAAAAATTGTATGTACGTGTATTCAATAAATATAGACAAAGAGTAAAATTTGACAAACGTGAATCTAAATAACGAGGTTAGCCCGGCGTAACGTTGCGTATCGTGAGAGCGCGGTCGCGGTGCGTTTTGACGACGTACGTCCGAAAGAGTGAGCGTTTGTCGGCAACGGTCGCGTCATGGAGGCAGTGTTACCCGCAGAATATAAACTTAAAGGAGAGGGGCGCGGTGATACCGCGGTTACAAAATGCTGTTGTTGTGGGTCACCACACTTATAATGAACATATATACTGTTAAGGACTGGCTACTGCTAGACTGGTGTGATTCGCTTATTGTCGCCAGTTCATTAATAATCCGCTAGGAGCGCTACGCATGCGTTCGCCCGTGAGGTATTCGTAAATATAACTCCTGTCGTGTACTCATAATACTAAAATTGATTACAATAAAAATTATAAATTACTGTAAAATGTACCTACTATATTATGAATTATACTTTTCATATATAAGAATTCTGTTGATTGGGGTGTTACCAATGGGTGACTTCCCCCCTCCCGCTTATCCACCCAATCAAATTTACTCATTGTAATATAATATTATATTGTAATTACAGATTGTAAATAAAATTTTGTTCAATAAAAAAAATAAAAAATAAAAAAATAATTCTGTTTGATACTTTTTAACTAGTGTTAATAGGAAAACATAAATAATATCATAGGTATTATATATTATACAGATAGTATATTAATATAATAATAATATTATAATAAAAACATACACAAAATACAACTTTTTTTTTTATATATTTAACAATTTTTATGTTAATGTGAATTTTGCTATCTTCTTTTTGTTCATATTTTCTTTTTGTGCTTCGGAATTATAGCTTTGCGAAAACTGTCGCATTCTCATATTTATATAATATTTGATAGTAAAAGCTATTATTTCTTCACTGTGTTGAAAACAAGGAAAATAAAGAGTGTCTTCTAACAGTTCGGTGAGTATTAGCTCTAAAACGTCTGCCATTTCACAATACTTGGAAAACAACTGTTCAATTTTGCATATAAAATTAAAAAAATTAATATTTGGGTGTATTAAGCCTCCTTTGGACTTTAAGTTAACTAGCCGTGCAACCGGTTCATATGAACACAAATTAATATTTTGTTTGATTGCAGATTGACATGTCACACATTTAAAATACCGTAAAATTTGTTTACACAAATACCCTGTGACATAATATATTACACAATCGATTACAGGAGCTACAAAATAATTATGATCACTGGGTTTTATTATATCATCTAAACTCCAGTCATCATGTTGAATTGCAAAGTCCAATTTTTCACGGATCGAATGTAATAATGGTTTGTTTTTTTCCGGATTATAATAAATTGTTTTGATACTATCAAGAGAGATTAAATTTTGAGAAGGTTTATTATTTTCTATGGTGCAGTTTCCTGATTTGGGAGGTTTCAATACGCTGTAAACGGATAACATTTTGTATAATTGTAAAAAGGTTGGAGTAGCTGGATGGTCATTTGCACCTCCTGCTTGGCGAATTGTACCAAAAAAACGCTAAATAGGTAATAATTTAAACTTATTAATAATGGTCATAATTTAGTATATTATATTTTTCTTACTTCCACATCATCTTGATTAATTTTTCCAGTAAGAATGTATTGTATACCATATTTTTCTTTTAAGTAAGTGCAAATTTCTAAAGTGGAAGTCAAAGTTACCCTTAGCCCTTCTGAAGTATTATTGGTAAGAAAGTGTTTTGGCTTTATTTTGTTATCAATAACACGCTGTTCCCATTCATTCAACCACTCCAGAGTATTTTGTAAAATCTGCAAAATAACATCAAAATAGTTTAATTCTATTGAATAAAAATATTTTAAGCATTTTAGCTAATGCAAATCAACACCAAACGCCAATTTAAATTAATAATTTGCTAGGATTGTATAAGCTGTTGGTACTCAAGCAAGCAAACTGCATATAGTTAAATTACCTATACCTGGTTGTATAGAATAAAGATCATGATTAAAATGCAACTCATTAATTGTTAAATAAATATAAGACCTTATTAAACTTATTTAATAATCAAGCAATTAGTTATCACCAAAGTAAACTAATTTTAAGCATAAAGCCATTATTAGAGGAAAATATGCTCCTCCGAAACAATACAATTATTATTAAAATTATATTAATTTTGCTTACACATTTTGTACGGTTTAAGGTAGATCCGATCCATTGATGGCTGATTTAAAATTAAAATTAAAAAGGTAGTTAAATGGGCATATATATTTTACTAACTTTTTAAATGTTTAATGGTAACTTAAAACATTAAATATCAATGCAAATTGACATAGATATCATATCACTGTAAAAGTTGTTTTTGTATATTTGAGATTATATCATGGGTTATTCAATATTTAGATATTTTAATATATTATAGCTGATTTGTTTTATTTAAAAATTATTGATATTAATTTTATTAAAATTGTACCTGAAAAAAATATATTTTTTGAATCATTCACAGTAAATGTATTACCAATTATTATCATTTTGATAAAAAAAAAAATATTAATTATTTTACTTTATAATCATCACTATTTGGCGACACTCCTTCATTCTTTAGCTTTCGATTTAATGCATCAAACGCTGCATTCATTTTCAAGCAAAAATTCTCAGTTGCTGTAGAATCGCTTAACTGAGGACTATAAGAGCGATAAAACTCAAGACTCTTTGCCATTGAGTTACTAAGAATCTATAACATAAAATAATCATTATTAGTTAAAAGAATAAATGTCTATATAAAAATAAAATAATGAATAATAATGCTACCTGCACAGCAAGACGAACACGCATTTTTGCAGAACTGTTCAAAACTATATGAGATGCAGATAATTTAGGACAAACTTTTAAATTCCCAGGATTCAGTTTATCCAAATTGTAAACATTTACAAAATGATCCCATTTTACTGGTGGTTCATTTTCATGAATCTAAAAATTTGAATTCTGGTTACTTTTTAATATATTTTGTTCCCTTTATCTGACATTGAAGATTATTAAAAATGTTCATAGTGAATCTATAGTTTTTAACTTTAATTTTTAAAAAAACATGGATTTCAAAATTCATTTTGAAATATTCTCATCATTAAATTCTACTACTGGTCAGTTTACTATAATGTTTGAAATTAAAAATCTATTTAGATATTGGTATGAATAAATTAAATTAAATTTCTAATAACCAACATAGACCAGCCATTGTTATTTTTAACTTTTAAGTATTGCAATATATAGTTATATAAACTAAATTTTTTTTTTTTTTAATAAGAACCATTTATTATATACTTAACATATTTTAACATTTTGTCAGTAATAAATATATGGGTTATCAACCTCCTGTAAGCAATAAAGCTTGTGTTGGAGGTTGAGAATTATAATACTTATTTTTAGTGGAATTTGCTCTTAGATATTAAAATATATCAACAAAACAACAAACCTTGAGCTCTTTATTATTATAGAGCCTATTTCTGATATTCTTAAATAAATGTGGCGTATCAGAGAACACAAATATTTTCCGTTTTTCATCTGTTGGGTGCTCAAACCAATTTTTAACTTTATTAATTTTTCCACATATTCCCATTTCGCTCCAAAATTTTCGATTTGGGGCTGCCCCGTCACATACAATTCCATGGATAAACGCTCCTGCTTTTTCGAGTACTGTGATAGCTTTTATTACTAACTGAGTTAGTACTACACCTTTAGTCGGTCCCTTTGATGCAAAAACACCAACGGGTTGGGCATAATTATCTTCTAATGGTATAAACATAAATACTAATCCATGATTTGCTTTATCACTGAAAGTTTTTCCTTTCTCACCTTCTTCACCAAAATCGACTAGACCTGTAAGGTATTCAATAATATGAGAAAATATGAGAAAATACCCATTTTATCTGTGTTTCATTGTTTACCTGTATATGTAAGATTTGCCGAGTTAACTGCAATACTCTCGCGAGTGGAAATTTCATCAAACACGAGCAAACCATGGCGTTGAAATTCTTCTTTTTGTGCCATATAAAGAGAAAACATCTGTAGAAATTTTGGATCAAACCCACATTGTGTATCGATAGATGATAGGTACCTTAAACATGATTTTAATTTATAAAAATGTTTAAACAAGTAATATTATTATATTACCTTCTTATGGTCCTTACACAAGGTAATGGCATAATGTCATTATTTCTAACAAAATTATAGCCACATGGTGAACGCATATGAAATAGTAAACATAAAAGGATCCAATCTTCGGAATATCTGCGACCTTTTAAATTGAGGACTTGTGATGCGGACAAAATTTCATGTAAGGCAACCCGTTGATTAGTAGGTATCTTATTAGTTGTTAGCCTTTCTTCAAGATTCATTGTGGTCAGTTTTGACATTTCACCTTGCATATTAAATAATTTATTTTTTAGCTTTTTATTGAGTATTACAGCTCGATATTTCCTTTGCAATGTTAATTTGTGATTTTTACGAAGTTGTTGTACTTTGGGACTAGATAAAATATGAATTCTCTTTGGAGTAGTATTATTTTTTTGTAAACGGAGCCTTTTGCGCATAATAGTCCGTATAGCTTTGTTACAATATTTACAGTCATTATTTTGGTTCAAGATGAGTGGACACATGATATGTCTAATATTACCAGCCGGATCTGTAAATGTTGTTTTAGAATGTAGAAGTTGTTCTTTTAATTTATATCCTTTACAAATGACACTAGTATCAAATTTTTTTAAAATATCTTCTAAGTCTTTAATACAATTTAATCTATTTAATCCAAAAAGGTCATTATTAACTGATATATTCATAACAAAACATTGAACATTTAAATTTACTCCTAAGCATACTCTTTTATATAAAATAGGAGTGGGAATATAATTTTCTGTATTTGCTGTTTCTTCTGTTTTAACAATAAAAAAAGAAAACATTATCAACTTTCCAGGAATGTCATGCCTGCTCCATCCACTAGGAAAAACAATGCTGTTAAAATTTTCTTGAAGTTTAGAGAATGAGAAAATCCCTACTGAATCATTAATAGAATCAGTAATAGCAATTTCTATTGACGGTTTAGAATTGAATGCACAATCCATTTGTGGGTCTTTTTTTTTGTCGGTTTTCTTTTTTTTAGGTGAGCTACTTCTAATTAATGGTAATTTCCTTCGTTTTAAAGAGTAGGATAGGTATTTTGGACAGTTTGGAAATATTGACGGTATAGCTCCTTCTTTTAATTTCGGAATTTTATATACAGCCTGTTGAAAAATGATAATTATTTATTTCTAAAATAATATGTATATTTATTAATTACTAAAAGTACTGGCTGGTGCCTAATGGTAACAATTACAATGATGTAAATATGTTTGGTGTTTTAGAATAACAAGGAAATACAATTGCTATACATTTCATATTTTTACTTAATGCAATTGAATTTGTATTTGTTTTAATTAGATTGTGCTTATAAGTAAATATTAAATTAGCCAATAGGTAGGGTACCTATTTATACCTAATAGACATAGAAAACATACCTCAGCTAAAATTGTCCCATCTTTGTCAGTCATTATTCGTTTCCTTAAAATGTCTTCTTCGTGGAAATGCCGTTCACAAACAACCTGACGAGGTTTTATTAAAAAGTCTTTCCTCGGAATTGCTTTTGTCCATTCTCGTAATTGAATATCATCCTTGGGAACTGTGAAAAAATGATATTTTTCTTTACAGGAATCATAACCGGAATTACAACCGGGGGCAATACAGCGATGTCCTGGCATTTTTCACGCGGAACAAATTAACTTCTTAATTAACAAATCAACAACTTAATTCACTACAACACTACAACACTATAAAATGTATTCTAATTTTGAAGGAGACAAATTTACTATTTTAATGGTCAATCCGTATTCCGTAACGGGTGGTGAACTTGAAAATTAAGGCGAACAGAGCGTCGCGCTCCTAGCGGTTTATATCAACAACGGCGACAATAACATCATCATAATTTTATACGGTCGGTATAGACAAGTGCATAGGCGTGAGTTTAACAGATATAATTCATTTTAAAAAGATTGAATTTAAATATAACGAAGTATCAGATCCATTATGTCAATATGTAAAGGTAACTATGGATAATATAACTTTAAATATAAAGGTTAAAAAGGTATTTACATATAAAAGTTTCTTTACAAAGTCTTCAATAAAGGCATAATACAAATTTATTTTACTGGATTACCCGTTAAATATAAAATTGTTCATTCTAAATAATATATCTTCACGTATAATAATAAATCTATAATAATTATATTATATTTAAGTAAGTATCATGGTTATTTACAGTTTTATTTTTACGAATGATTGAAGTGGTTTAACTTTTGTTGTTGTATGAATTGATTTAATGTTCCAATTTCTAGAGCGTTTATAATAAATGTTAACAAAGTGTATACATTCGGTTTTTTTATAATTTGAACTTACTTCTATGGTACAATTTTCTTTGATTACTACATATTTTTTAATAAGTAAGCTATTGCCTATTTCTAACGTATATTATTGCAAATTACGCTGATTGTGTAACTTCCACGATATCAATTTAAGCATTTTAGTGAATGAAAATCATAAAACGTTTATTAACGTAATATCTCTAGTTGAAACTTGAAGATAGCTCACGTTATGTACCATCTATAGGTAAAGATGATTTTTTTTTAAATGTTTGGTTACAGTTATAGTTTATACTTTATATTTAAACTTTAAAACCATATTAGATTGTGATGTGGCCATGTGGGTTTGATTATCAAATTATGTATTTGGATTTATGGTAGGTTGGGAAAGATTGGTAAGAAAATATGTTTAGCTTTGTCTGTGTTTTAGTTTTAATGTGTATTAATTTATATTTTAAACTGATGTCTATTTCATGAATTCTTATATTGTAAAGTATTTCAAGCAGGTACATAATATTGTGGTATTTCATTTAATTTTTAACATAAATATATTTTTGTGCTGTATATACACGATCAAATGTTTCTGACCGATTTTTCGTAAGGTTTTTGCTGTCATGGTAACTTATTATTTATTAACAAAAACATATTTATGATTATGGTTTTCCGTGTAGTGGAAAAATATCATGTTATATGGTTTTTATTATTTATTGACTAATAATATTTAATTTATTTGAAGTAATATTGATTTTTGATAATCTGAATAATATCTTTTTAGATTCTGTTTAGTTTTAATGTTCTAGAATACTTGAAAATCGCTTAGCAACATATTTCATGAACTGAATTTTTTAGGTTTTTAAAATATGGAACCATTTAGTATAGATGAAACACATATTCGAAATTCAAATTATTCACAGTTACAAGGAAAATGCTTAGAACCAGATGCAGTTGCAAGTGTGAGTTTTCTTTAAAAGTTTTCTTTTTTTTCATTTTCATATGATATATGAAATATATTTTTAAACTTTAAAAACTATATATGTTATTATAGTGTTTTAATAATTATGTTCCAATGGTTCAGAAGAAAACATTTAACGATCCATTACTACCTAAACACTTAGATAAAAATACAATATATGGCATCATAACAAAGAGTATGACATTTTTTGTTTTGTTTGTAAATACCTAATGAATTGTTATAATTTGTGTAATTGTTTTTATTAAAGCTAAATTGTCTGCCCGTGATGTGATTTTTCCGAATAAGTCGCCAGTTGAAAATGGTATTGAAGACAAAAAAGAAACAGAATTATACAAAATTTCCCATCACACGTATGGAATTGGTGAACAGTTAAATCGAAAGTTAGCGCTAATCAGGTTTTGTCTTTGAAGCTAGTTTGTTTATTTATAGAATTATTTAGGTACACAGACAATTTTAATCCACATTATCGTTATGGCAAAACTTTAAAACGGTTACCAGCAGGTATATGGTTTAAAAGTAATGTTCAACCTAAATCATTAAATGAAGATAAAAACACGATCACTGATTATGTTAGTAAATTATTAGAAAGGTATGATACAAAAGTAAATTATTTTAATAAGAAAGTGCAGTAATTTTAAATACTTACTTCACTTTAAAAAACATTATCAAAAACATTAACATTAGCAAAGAGAACACACAATGTCGTTATCCGTACATCGACCACCGACAAGGAAAATTCATAGGCAGATCGTGTTTAAGTGCACAAGACGTTTTAACCAGAAACGAACCAGACAAAAAAGACTTGGAGCTAATCGATTATTCAACAGCAGTCAGTAGATTAAAACACTATGTCAAAAAAAAGAAATGCGATTTAAAGGAATTGCACGAAACGTTCAAACTGTTTGATAAGGTATAAAAGATGCAATACACTTTTATAGTTGTTTTTGCTATTTCAATTTGATTCAATTACATATATAAAATACGACAATAACAAACGAGGGTAAATTTATACATTATTTTTTTAAATGTGAAGGACGATGACTGCAGTGTAAATTTAAACAATTAAAACGCTAATAATATTTCTGTAAATTCCGAGGTCATGGCTTACTCGCTTACGCACATAACAAATAACACAGTAATACACCCTCCAAGTTTAAATATATTAAGCTTTTATATTACATTGGACTGGATTAATTACTATCTAGTATCTAGGAATATGGTGTTAAGTTTTATATCTTTACTCGCTAAAATAAACTACGCTTTATTTTGATTAAATAATATGAAATTAATTTTACGAAGTTTGAGAGGACGTGTTGTACAACAAATTCGATATGCTTAGAAATTCACGGGGTGGCTGCCACTGGAACAAGTGTATAAAATATGTTACCAACACAAAATTAAGCCTGAGAAGAAATTGTTCGATCTTGCCTTACATTCTATTAACGCCATTGATAACAACAAAGTCAGCTATAATTTATTTCTGGATTTACTCAATCCAGCCGTTAAGTTCTCGACGGGTCTTAAGAAAAATAACCTAAAAGATATCGACAGATTCATTCCAACATATAAAAACGATTATGGCAATACGTTGTCTAGTACCATTCAATTAAATAAAGGTGGTGTACAATAATTCTCACGTAGGAAGCATTTGTAAGTGATTTTATACAATTTTGTTTTCAGACCGCAACGATTATATACCTGTTAAACCATTGGTCTTAGTTTATCTGGATTGTTTTGGGTCCGAAACGGACGTAAAAACATTATTGAATCCGACGATATTTTCAAATTATGGATTGACTTACAGAGACTTTTACATAGTAATAATTATCACTATAACAATGACATAATTGGGGTTAACAATGTGGAATTGGTATTAATCGTATTTTTTTTCATGTATTATCATTGTTCAATGTACATATTTTAGGGACGCAGTAAAGACGTAATGAAGAAACTGTTCCAAGACTTAGGAGTGATCTTACCGAATGACATTTTCAATATTATCTGGGAAAATGCGTACCAATGTGATGGTGTCGACGACAAAGTGAGCGTAGAAGCTTTTAGACAGGCTCTTCAAGAGCTGGCGAATAGAATGACCGACCAACATGGCGACAAATAGATCAATAGTCAAATAATATTATACTGTAGACCATACAGATTAAACAAAAATTCAGATTCCAGAAATTCAAAACCTTTATTTTAAAACATTAAGTCGCCGTCCCGGTAGAACAATGACGCAACTGCAATAATTGCAATTTTACAGGAAACCCAAAAAACTAAATTATTTATGAGTGTACAAACTGATAATTCCGCAACGACGCAATTGCCTTCTGGCGGTCTAAAATACAACTACAGTTCCGTCGTTTTTCTACATTATGCGTACGCTATATTTAAACTCATTGTAGCATTTAGGCCATTTATACCAAATTTTGCAGTTGCGTCATTGTTCTACCGGAACGGCGAAGTTATGGATGGGCATCACCTTTATTTAAAATGACACTTTGAGAAAACGTCTTATTTTGTATAAGTAGCTAGGGTACTACATAACTGCAGTGTTTTGGAATGTAAAGGGTTAATGAGAAAATTAACAAGCAAATGGCAAATATGCAATTTATGAAACATTTATAAACGTTGTAGGTACAGTAATAGGTAATATATAAATAAACCTACCTAATAAAATATTTTATATATTTCAAAATTGCATTGTTGCATAGTTCAAAATATTTAAATTTAAATCGAATGAGCCAAGTCATGGTATGTAAACCATTGCTATCGTTAATGTTATTTATTTAGTATCGATTATACGATATAAGTGTCGATAACACGGTTATCGCGAATTCGTAGACCACGCAAATAATACCTTTATTTTGTTGTCTAGACAGTGTTTACTTACTTTACCTTTGATCAATTACAAAGGGCAAACATAGTACACACTATTTTTGTCATTAAGCTATCAAAGTCCAGTGTATAGGTACAATAATTTAGTTTTATTTATTACAATCAATTTGTATCTATTTTTTTCCATTTGTTGTACGTATTTTACTTGTTTTCCTTCGTGTTCTATAGATACTATAGCAAGACGATATGTATATATAACTTCATCACATGTATAATATATTACTCTCAAACATACGCCTTTACCCATAACTGGACTAACATAAATTATTTTAAAATTAAAAACTATTTTATTGAAAATCATCACCTACACAAAATGTTCTTATTGGATTCTGAGAAGAGCAATGAATGTATTGGTTTTTAGTATTTTACAATGATGTGTGTTTTTTTTAACTTTTATTATTTAGTATCTGTCATCACCATTTGGGTCAGTAAAAATGTTTCGATTTTCTACTTCAACATCTTTTCTGGTAGGAAA